TGATTACCATTTAAATCTCAATCAGATTTTTTTCTATCAAGGTTGAAAAATAATGCATTAAAGTTGCTTATTTTTTTTGCCTCAAGAACAAATACTCCATCAGCAACCAACAATGAATTTCTCTCAAAGATTCTCAAAACAAACATATACGTATAGAAGAAGAAGAAGAAGAAAAATCCATTTTATACTTACTTTATAAACATAAACGTTGAATTTCAGTTTGTTGTGTAATCATGTGTTTCATTATATAAAAAAGAAACAACAGTCGAACACTAGCAAAATGAAGCGAGTTTTGCGCCTTGCCTTCATATTTTTGTCTGCATTATGTATTTTAATCGATGGATCACATTTTCGTGGTGGTATTATTTCATGGTAAGTATATACACCCAATTAATGTTTGTTCCTTTATTCGATCTTGCATATTTTATTTTTTATATTCTTCGTCTTTTTTTATCTTAGGCGTCCCTTAAACAGCATACCAACGGGTAGCACTGCACAAATTCTTATACATCAAAGGTATTTTTGGAATCGACAATGGGTCTCTTTTCCTAACCCGAATTGCACGGAAGCGACTGTCACTGCTCAAACACCTATTCCAGTCAATTCTTATATGACCTGTTTAGGAAACTGCTCAAGTTCTAACTATTCTTCAACTGGACTTCCAACCATTATGACAAGTACAGATTGTGATGCGAACCCGATCATTGAAACATGGGCTGGCGAACGCTATGATACTTTAGCACTGCCTTTGATAACATCGATTACAATTGGCTTTGTTTCTAGTGGGTGGTTAAACACACTCTATATTGGTGCTGCGTCTCCATGGTCAATTGTTAGTCGAATTGATTTAGGCCTGAGACCTGATGGTTTAATTAATTCCAGTCCTGTTACAAATACATTACCAGTAGTATTTTGCCAAAGGGCTGTAACAGTAGTTCATAGTATACAAATGGCAGATAACGATGGTACTGATATATTGAAATGTCGTTGGTCCAATTCAAATTCGACGTATAATTACAATCGCTATGATGAATGTGGAGGTATCTGCAGTGGATTACCTTCTGGAACTACCCTCACCGGATCCAATTGCACATTAAGTTTCATTTTACCAATTGCTAATCTTTATTATGCTTGTGCACTACAAATCGAAGATTATTATAATTCTA